CTATGCAGTCCAAGCCAGTGGTCCCAAAGGCTTTTCCTTAGCCTGAAAGCAGGCAGAGAGCCTGTTGCCTTCAATGACTCTTGCCCAAGAAAGCCCTTTGTGACCTGCAGCAAGGTGTTAAGTGATGGACAAGTGCCTCTCTCCAGGCCATCCATCCAGCCCCAGGTGGAGAAGTGGAGCTGCTTACTGTGCCATCTAAGCTATGTTTGGCCATCCTGCCATTTGGGCAAACCTGCTTCCCCTCTCTGGCGTGCACATGAAAACCAGCTGCCTCAGGCAGTCACCCAATGCATCTGCCACAGCTTTCATTGACATGGCTAGAGTCATCTGTTCTGCATGAATGGGGCCAACCAGCATCTGGCAAATCTCTGAACCACTGGGATCTGTTGTAAAGGGCAAGTGACCAACCACTCCAACAGCCTGACTATAGAGCAGAATTTAGTAGAGCAATGGCTCTGCCCTGGCATGGTTCCCTTTGAGCTTTCAGCTCGAATGAGTTGGGCTCCTTCCCCAGTTAAAACCACCTGAATCCACAGTGTTCAGCAGAGTCACGATATCTGTCACGTAGGCAGTTTTTTGGGTGCCTGTGGCTTTAGATTCAGTGGCTCTAGCAGCCAGCACATAGCTGAGGTATCTGAGAGTCTGCTCCAGCAAGGCAGGGCTGGATGGGGTGCACAGGTGGGGCAGATTTGGCCCATGCAGGTGGCAAGTACCCACTCTTTTTGCCCTGCCCTTCCCTAAAGCAAACACAACTCCAGAGCTTGACCTTGGCTGACTGGAAAATGAGCTGTGCTCACTGAAGAGGCAGCTGAGGCAGTGTAAACTGGTGTTGTCACTCACTGGCAATACCCTGCCTCACTGCTTGTGGTTTGTCTGAGCCAGTGCTCCGTTAGTGAGGTGCAGAAGGAAGGCGTGTACACTGGCAATGCAGTTGTCTGTCTCTAGAAGATCTGGAAATGTAACAGTCTTAGAGACTTAAAGATGCATATTTCCACCTCACCAGAATGTCTGAGATTTAGAAGATTTTCCTATCCTGAGGCAGAACAAACTGCCTGTATTTTGAAAAGAATGAAAACATGAAAAATGTGGCTTGAGTCAGTCAAAATATTTTTGACATGTTTTGTTTCATGTGAGCTTTTATGATGCATATTTTTATCTACAACAACTAAAATATTTGAAATAACATATTTGAATAACGCTGAAATTTCATTCTCTCTCTGATTTTGTATATAAAGAAGCCTGTATTTTTCACTGGTTTAAGTGAATGCCTAGTTCCTGCTTAAAAAAAAATAGATCAGTTGGTATAATGTAAATCTGCTTGATTCAATTAGAAAGAGCTTTTGAAGCAAAGTCAGGGAATTTATCTCCTGTATGATAAATGGTTTCAAAGAGGTTACCACTGGATACAAAGTTAACCCAGGAACTAGTTTTTCCTATCTTCTAGTTCAGTTTCAAATGCTGGTAATTCTGTCTTTGGTTTGACTCAGGAAATCACTGTAAGAAGCTTCACCAAGCACTTAAGAGATCATTTGATCATGAGGCAGCAAACAGAGATGAACCTCCTGAGGTTTTACAGTCCTAACTGCAAGCAAAGACATTAGCTTCTCATCCACTGGCAGTTGATTCCAAATCCCTCTAAAGGGCTTCAAGAAAATGTTACTGAGCTTTATCCTCAGCTAAGTTTCTGCTCATACTAGGTCTTGTAGCTACTTGACTACAGCATCATAGTGGCGCACAACCTGCTGTTGGGCAGGATGATGCCTCCTCCAGTGCTGGCACATTAAACTGTCTGGATTTACACATATTCATATGTATTTTGATGATATGTGACACCTGTAATTGTTTCAGCAGTTCACCCTGAGGAGGGTTGAACTGAGGTGCAAGGGAAGCAGCCCTGCCTGGCCAAGATACGGGAGAGGAAATCTCTGTTGTAACCAAGAGTTAACAAACCACAGCAATTACCCAATTAAAGCTAAGCCCCTCTTTAATCAAGTCAAGTTAAGAGGCCCTCGGGATTTTTGTGAGAAGGAGGAAGTCCTAATCATTGCAAAGGGAATTGCCTCTTTTTCTACCAGGCTTGAAGTTGCCCCCAAATTTGCAGATGCTGATTTTGAAAAAGAGAATCATTAGTTTTTAATAAAGAACTTGCTCCTTGGGAGGTGTGGGGATGGACTGAAAGCATTTTGCCATACAGTTTAGAGTTCATTAGTGCACCCATCAGGGAAAATGTGTGAGAAAAGTGAAATCAGATGAATATTCCTTATTTAACCTCCAAACCAGTAATTTAGAAAAAAAAAAGAAAAAGGCAATTTCTTCTAAATCTGAGTTCCAGGTGACTGCTTTTTATCTGAGCTCCATCAAATTATTCCCCTGCTAAATTTTCATTAAATAGGCTTTTTGCTCCAGCAGACACTGACTCCCTGAGATCATTTTGAAAGCAAAACATTCTGTTTTTATTAGTAATGATCCATCTTCCACCCTGGTGCTATGAGGGGCTTGAGGAAAGCGTTTGTGCCTAGGTGTTAATTTTCTGCACTGAATCCCTGTTTTTTCTCTGACATGGGGATGGGCAGAATGAGCTGGTTCCTGCTTGTCTCCCTGGCTGTGGGTAGGACTGGGGCACAAGAGAAAGTCATGATTCTGCCTCCACACAAGTCAAGACATAGCATCCCTGGCCTCACACTCACTGTTCAGGCTTGTAGTTAGATCCCTCACACCCTCATTCCCACTGCAGTGTGAGATTGCTGAGAGGAGACTGTCTTCAGGCTCTGTTATGGTAATTTCTCCCTTCCTTGGTTGTCCCATGTGATAAATTTCTAGCTTTTATTTCTATGTGGCAACTACCAGGCACAATTTTTCTACAGGCTCCTGTTTATTCTGGACTTACACATGGCAAGTTTCCTAAACAGCCCTTTTTAAAAACACAGATTCATTTGCTTTTATTGACTCTGGTCAAAGCAGCTGTTCTGAAATCCCATAGGGATGGAGCATTAGGGGCAGACAAATGTGATGAGCTGGAGCTGTTCCACATACCAAGTACAGCTGGTTGAAAATAGCCTTGACCATTTTATAAACTGAAGCATTGTCCAGTCCTGTTTTGACTGACCTGACATATTAATGTGCTGAGGGGACTGGGCAGAACTGCCTTAACATTTCCCAGGTGGTTTCTTGGGGCATGTTTGCCTTGACAGATTCCTTCCTGTGCATGAACTCTGAGATTCAGAAAGAATCTTTTACAGAGATTTTGTGTTATTGTCTATGATTTTTATGGCAAATTGAGCTTCCTTCATTTTGTTTTGCTTCCCTTCTTTCCTCTCCTTGGTGACCTCACAGCCATTAGTGCCTGAATTCCAGCATTTATGTACTTCATTTCTTTTCTCTGCTGTCTCTGGGGAGGACTCTGCATCCATGACCCAGCCATAGGAGGCTTGGGTGCTTGTACTACAGTCTGAAGGGCTGTTAATGTGGCATGATCAGACTGGGACCTATCTGGGAATGGAGAAGACCCCAGAAGTCTGTGATTCCTTGCCAGAAGCAGGAATGGAAACAAGCTTGGCTTCCAGGCCCTTGCTTCTATTGTGGGAAGCCTGGAAACCCCCATATGCCAAGGATTTGCAGGGTCCTCACTGTGGGAATGAGCTGGGCTCCCTGGACAGCCAGAGGCTACTGAGGTCTGCAACCCAGATATCCTCACTCCAGTGCAATTCTGCCAACATCCAAGGAGGAGATTCTTCCTATCAAACCATTTTACTGCATGTTTGGCTTCACAGACAATGCAGAGCCTAGGTGAGAGGAGAATCAGGCCTTTAATCTCAAGTGATGCAATGGCATTTTATCATGTCCTCTGAATTATTCTGCCACAAGCATCTTGAAAGTCTGGTTTATCTCCTCTAAAATGATTCATGCACTGCTCATCAATCATCCATATTTCACAACTAACATGCCATAGGTGGTTCAGCAGCCTGAACTGAAATTTGGACCAAAATTATTGTATTTTCTGGACCTCTGTGTCTGAACCTGGGGGAAACTGCTGGTGCATTTGACATGTTTGGGTGCTGTGGAGAGATAGGGTGTAGGGTGTTTGGTTGGGTGGCAGGTCAGCCACCTGTGTCAGGCTCTGTCCTTCCATGTGCCAGCTCTCAGGAGCAGCAAATTTCAGCTTTGCAATAGATTATGCAGGCAAGACTGAAGCAAGTGAAAACTTCTTTCTCAGTTAAAACACTCAAGGTTACTTTGCCTTAGGAGCACAGGTCTACCTGCCTGGTTTGCTCCTATTTCACTGCAACCTGGACTTGAATGGCAGGGTGATTCTTGCATGAGTAGAAATTGGGGGTACCAGAGAAATGTTCAGCACTCATAGGAGGACTGGATTTTTGGAGAACTTTCTTGTCAGTCACCAAAGCCTAAATCTAATTTTATGCACTAAGCTATGAACTCTTGGAAAGTATATGGCATCAATTCTGCTTACTGATCAGTTTTGATAAGTTGGCTTGATACAGTCAAATCCTTTGAGTTGCTTTCCATTCCCCAACAGGGAATGTGAACAAAGGAAGAAACTGGAGCTGAGAGAGACCAGGTCTGGCCAAGTTAGGTCCAATGTACCTGTTTTAGCTGTCTATCCTCCCTGTATCACTAGCTGCTTGTTCTTGAGCCCTGCTCTGGTGCAAGCTGGGAAGGGATCTCACCAATAACTCTATTCTCACAAAGTCATTGAGTGGTACAGAAAATACAAAAGACTACCCTGAAATATATGAAATGAAGAAGTAAAGAGTTAATGAATCCTCAAGAAACTTTAAGTTTGCATAGAGAAATCAGAGAGGGGAGGTTCACCAGTACATTTCTCTGGCCAAACCCACAGACAAAGATTGAAAGTCGCCAGGGACAACAAACAGAACAATGTTCCTGTGAGGCCAAGAGTTTGTTTTGCCATTTGTTCTCTGTACGTTACCATGGAATACAACTGCTGCTGTGGGTACAAGAAGAAATAACCTCATACCCTGCATTTATCTCAGACACATCCTGAAGTTTAAACAGGTCATAGTGCTCTTCTTTTGCACTGGACCACTTGACTGCTTTCTCCATGGAAATCCCTCTGTCTGGGGACACTCTGCCGACACCTTTGTTTGAGACTCTCCGCAGAGATTTCCGTAAGTAACATGCTTGGATTGTGTTCCCGTTCTTTCCATGTTCCCTGGCTAGGCGTGCTCAAGCAGACAGATGTGTGTGGAATGTTGGTGGGAGCGGGCTATTCTGAGGCAATTGTCCAAAATATCCATGCAAGAGCTTCAGAATGAGAGTGCAAATCTGCACTGCAAACCTGTTTCTGAGATGTATGCTCATCCAGGTGGAAATCTAGGAAGCATGCAATGTAACCTATGTGTCCTGTTGTGCCTGCATTGCAGATCACTTATGCTGTTAAATACCTGAAATAGTTTGCAGAAACTACGTTATAAATTGTGCTGAAAAACATATAAGCCTAAGGAAAAAAACACCCCTGTTCATAGGGGGGGAAAAAAAGCAAAAGGTGGAAAATGAGCAAGCTGCTTTATTTTTTATGAATTAATCACCCATCTTCAGATCTGACAAAATACTCAGAGGAAGTTGGAGTCTCTTTTTGCTCTATTTTCAGCTGGTGCTTGAAGCAAAAGTGGCAGAAATCTCTCTGCAAAGCCTGTTCTAATGAGATTTCCAGCCAGTTTCGTGAATGAAGTTGGTTTGGATTAACTGTGAATAAGTTCTTGTGCAGAGAACTAGCAAAGCATGGGTTCATTGATCACAGACACTTCTGTGTATGGTGTCTGACCCAACTCAATAAAGTCAATAAGAAACCTACTGGGCCAGCTTATCCAATAGCTGTGGAGCCACTTTGCAGTTCCAAAGCAGCTGGAGTCAGCTATTCCTAGAAACCTAGAAACTGGATGGGAGGGAAATTTGTTTATATTCTATTCACCTGATTTATGGGAATTTGTATCAGGCCCAGGGACAAGTTCTCTATACCATACACTGCTCATTTACAAACTGGTGTAGCAGATGAGACCTAGTAAGAGTCAAGTTCTCATCTTTTTCTCCTCCTGTTTTGATGCCTTATTTCCCATCAGTAATTAACAGGAATGGATGTCTACTTCTTCTGGGATTGTTTAACTGGGGGGATGGTTCCAGGGCTGTCCCCTGAGGCTGTCTCCACAAGTAACAGGTTTTTGAGTTATGCCTCTCCATTAATCCCCTGTCTGAACAATAGCAGTGGTGCTTGCTCTGAGTCCAAAGGTGTTTGCAATCAACCCTACAATGATATTCAAGGAGGGCACTGTTTTAAAAGGCTGCCTCTCCTGAAGTGTGCTGTGTGTGTTTTAAATGTGACAGGCTACATGACAGGACCTGAAACAGAGACATTTGAGGAAGCTTGGAAACTTCTGATCCTGGAGCCTGAGCCAAACCATACTTCCTGACTTTTTGGCTTGGGAGTCTCTGATTCAAACACACCATTTTCACCTGCTATCCACAGCTTTATCATTCCTGCAGAATAATCACTGTTTTTAAGATGCCTGCCTTGATATAACAATGCAATTCTCTGCATGACAAACCCCTAAAACTCTGGTGGCTGGTAAATAAAAATTATTGAGAATGATTGTTTCATTTGAGGCATCAATAACTTCTGCAGAGGTGTAAGGAGAACAGCTCAGCTTCCCTGAAAATTGCAAAGGAACTTTTTTTTTTTTTACAAAGCTCACTTTGCCGGCTATGCAAACTCCAGCTAAGGTTCCTGGGTGTCAAATTTTTTGAGGTGGAAATCCAATACTGAAGGTTTGATGGGGCATCAGGGCTACCAATTCTGCTTGTGAGGCTGTGTGAAAAGCTAATATGTGTGTTGAGAAGTAAAAGCACTGACTGAATGATCTTTCAGGAGCTGTGGACTCAGTTCTTATTTCTATGCAAGAATTCAATGTGTTCTATGTGTCTTCTGTGCAGCCTCAAGGTGGTTGCTCTTCTTGTTGTCACGTGGGCTCAGTTGCTAGACCAGTCTTGCAGTATATGGAAGAGAGTAGGAGAGGTCAGGCCTCCATCTGCTTCTTTAAGCAGCCTGGACAGCCCCATGGCTTCTGCCTGGCATGACCAGAGTCAGCAAGGAGCCGAGGCAGCAGGGCACTGTGACCCTCATCTCCTGATGTGCCGTCACTGCGCTCTCATGAAGCTGTACCAACAAACCACCGTGGAGCCAAATGCCATACAGGAGATGAGACTTACAGGGAACATCCTTCAGGCACTGTTTTTTCTTCAGAGCTTTTCTTTTAGAAAGTGGATAGTCCCCTGTTGCTTCTCAGCCTACTGACAAAGTTACTGGGATTGGCAGTCCTCAATTTGGGGGCCAGTGCAGGAAGACAGGTTGGAGTGAGTCTGATTGAAGAGTTCTGTACTGATTAGGGTCAGATGTTATTGCCATAGGGGCAGTTAATTGAGGGGGTGTCAGTAGAGAGCAGGGCACCTCTCTAATTTTCCTTCTCTACCTATTATTTAACAAAACTATTGAGAGAAAGGCTCCATTAACTATACTTTTGTCTTTAATTCTGCAACTTCAGTAAAAGCCAGTATAGGACAAGCCCCTGAATACAGGATGGAATTGGTTCTGTAATAATAATAATAATAATAATAATAATAATAATAATAGTAATAATAATAACTTGCTTTCCCTCTTTGAAAATAAATATGGGTTTTAGTAGAGAGATTTAGCTGTTGCTGGCAGTCAGTCAAGCAGGACAATTTGGGCTCTGAGTACTTGATTAGAATAACTTTAAGGAAAATTGCCTTCCTGAATCAAGTAAGGATCCATTAACCTGATGAAACAGAGTTTGCTTATCTGAGAGGTTAAGACTCGTAACACAGCTTGGACTGCATTAGATGAAGCTTCTTTTAGAACAGAAAGTAATAAAAACACCATCTGTCATGTCTAGTCAATCAGACCTTGAATAAGAGAGGAATTATTCCTCTGACTTTACCATTATAAGATCATCTGTTTGTTAACAATGAGAAGTGTCAGAAATGCTGAAAACTGGTTTTATGCCCTCAAATTATTTCTAGCTGCCTTTATCTTGGAGAGAATTAATATTAATCTGAGTTTACACAGGAAAGAAATATTTGTAGATGAATACAATTCCAAGCCATTCCATATTGAGCCTCTTGTGATTTATTGTTAGAGGTAAAACTGAATGGGAGATAGAGGAAAAAGTGCCATGTCACTGAAAGTGATTATTTCTATAAACAAATCTCTTGCAAGTTGCTGAGCACTCAAAGGTTCTTTGAAGTCAATTGAATGTATTCAGTCAAGTGGCCATCTGCATCTTAAAGGCTAGATCTTCTCATGTAGTATAGGCATAGCTGGAGATTATGGAAAAGGTGTTTGCATTTTTTGGCATGGATTTATCAAAGTTATTAAATGTCACTAATGGATTTCTCTGAGAGTGTGGTCTCCTCTATAAACAAAGGAGTACTTGGGGACATGTAAAGACTGAATGCCAGACAGCAAAGACAGCTGTGGGCACAGGAGGTGAAAAGAATGGTGGAAAGCCTGTACCAGTGTATCCGCAGCACCACTATGCACCAGCTGGGGTGGAAACACCATCCCCATTTGTCACACACCACAGATGAAACTGCAGTGGATCTATTAATATATACCACTGCCTGACACATTGGGTATGTACCATGCTGCTGCCCAGCACGTTCAGCACTGCTCTGTGGTTTCTGGGTGGCCACAAGCTGGAGAACACCAGAGGGGCTTTTGTGTGCTCATGGAAAAAACATTTCTTTGTTCAGGGTTGCTGTTTGCACAAGAGAAGCACACAGAGTGTTTGCAGGTATGTGATGCAGAACTGTGTGTGGTGGGCACAACCCCATGCAAGATCCCAGGAGGAAGGAGACAGGCTGGGGATAGAGGAGGAAAATTAAATGCCTAATTCAGTACTCAATCACAGCCAGAAGATGTGCTTCAGTTAAGGTAATGAGACTGGGGATCTGGGAGAAAAATGGTTGAGCAGGAGAAAGACAACGTGTGCTCTGGGGTGGCATCAAGGGAAGGCTGAGCACTCCTGGTCCCACTGGTCATGTGGATCAGATGCCACTCATCTCCTAGGAAAAAGGACCTTTCTTTTTTGGGAGTTAGCATAAGGATGAAGAGTAACAGATTAATTCTTCCTTCTATGACAGTATAACCCTTATCCCTGCCAAACTTTGAGGGGATTTGTCATGAATGCCAGTGGAGAACAGACTGCCCTGGGCACAGGATGGCCAGAACAAAAAGAATTGTGCTACAAAGTGTTAGGGTCCCTGGAGACCCAAACTCTGTACAGTTAGATCAACATTAAAAAAAGAAAAAAAAAAAATCTCTATTTTTGTACCAGTTCCTCTGGGACCTGATGCAGGGAAAACCCACATGACTGCGCTTCCTCCTGGAGCTGGTGAGAGCTGCTCCCACTCACTGTGTTAGCAAATTGATCCCCATGGTCACTGCGGGGGGAGGCTGAAAAGAATGGATGGCACTGCAAGCTCGTTATGAAAATGCAGGGAAGCAGAGTTAATGAATCTTGGACGAGCCTCTAATCTGCCTGGCCCTTGGTGTTGGTGGTAGAGGAAGCTGGGTGTGGAGGATCTGATTAACGTCAGTGGAAATGACAGACCCTAGAATGCAGAAGGTCGTATCATATGTGTCAGTGCTTGCATCTGGGAGGGGCCATTGTCAGAGAGCTGAGATTTCTGTGGATTAGGTCTGGAAGGTTTTTTTCATCAGAACAGAGGTATTTTGGGGATTTACAAGTTCTTGGTCCCTGGCAGCTTGCCTTGATGAAATACCGATTACACAATTGCAATCTGACTTAAACCATAGTCAAAAAATCAGCAGTGTGCTGGGTTATGGTGAGAGTACCCTCTGTGTGATGGCAAAGATTTGAAATTGTGCAGTGCATTATGTCTCCTGACACAGGAAAACTTGCAGAGGGCAGCAAACAGGCTGTTTATTGTGGGTGTATGGAAAAAATATTGGAAAAACTGAAATTCATGCCTTCTCTGAGATTTTCTTAGTCCAGTAGCCAGATTAATGAATGAAACCACTCGCCCCAGATATACAGGAGATTATGCTGCTTGACATTTGTTTTATGGACAG